AGTGCAGTGACTGTAGCGTGTGTTATTGATTCTGCACACTGAATGTTTATTCAAGACTGTAGAATAAATCCGTGAATCACAGCTGATGATCTGTGTGTGTTTGTGTGTGTTTGTGTGTGTGTGTGTTTGTGTGTGTTTGTGTGTGTGTGTGTTTGTGTGTGTGTGTGTGTGTGTGTGTGTGTGTGTGTGCGTGTGCGCGTGTGCGCGTGTGTTTTTTTGTGTTCATGTGTGTGTGTGTGTGTGTGTGTGTGTGTGTGTGTGCGTGTGCGTGCGTGCGTGCGTGTGTGCGTGCGTGTGTGCGTGTGTGCGTGTGTGTGTGTGTGTGTGTGTGTGTGTGTGTGTGTGTGTGCGTGTGTGTGTGCATGCGTGTGTGTGTGTTTATTTGACTGTACCAGCTCAGTTTTATCAATCCAGATAACTGGTCTGGATTGAGTGATCCTTGTTTTGTGATCTGTGATCCAGCTTACTGTTTGAGCCAGTTTTGTCAAGTTGGATCAGTCTGATCCGGATAGGAACTTTTCAGGATCACTGACTCTGGATAACCAGTGCTGAAACAGGAGAGGAGATAAGTAAAGAGCAGCGAGTAGAATAGGCAGTGTGGGCTCAATATAGCTTTATTAATAACTGAATTAAAAACAAGAGACCCAGCCCATCCTCCTCCAGCAGCCCGCTCATCTGAGACCCACAACAGTTACTATGACCATTTATGTGAAGCTGCTTTGACACAATCTACATTGTAAAAATGCTATACAAATAAAGCTGAATTGAATTGAATTGAACAACACCAACACTGTGCAGTGAGGATAGTCATGACAAGCTCCACATATAGATGTGTTGAATTAAAATAAGACTTGATGTCCAAATCTCAGCAGTAATTTCAGACCTCCTCATGTGATGTGGAGATGAGCGCAGCCTTCAGGAGGCGGATCTCAGGTCTGGCCTTGGTTCACTGCAGTTTGCTCAGAGTCAGTTGTTCCTCTGCCCTTTCCATCTGTTATTCAGTGCATCACTAACACTTTTAAAGTTTTCATTACATTTTGGGCATGAAATCCACACTGAATCCACCCTACTGAGGGGATCAGTTTAATCCAGATTTGTTGATCCTACAAAAAAAGATTTGTTGATCCTGAAAAACCCAAACTTAAGGTTTGATCCAGATCAAAACCAAGATTGAATTACGTGATCTAATCTGATTATGTAATCCGGTATTTCTTTTGAAAAACCCATTTTCAAGATTTGATTCAATCCCTTATCTAAAATCCCACTGGATTACTTTATGTGTGGATTACTTTCTGTGTGGATTACTTTATGTGTGGATTACTTTCTGTGTGGATTACTTTATGTCTGGATTACTTTATGTCTGGATTACTTTATGTCTGGATTACTTTCGTTGTGGATTACTTTCTGTGGCCTTCTGTGTGAACAGGGGTGGAAAGAGGTCTGAAAACTCATAGTGGTAATGTCCACACAACGGCAAGCTGTAGCATCATTAGGCGTTGGTATTTGGTTGAATTGAGGTCGGATGTTGGACATTGATGATGAGTTCTGACGTCAACCCAGTTTCCAAACAAACTGCAACGTCCCCTAGAAGTTAGAGTACAACGCCAATCTGGTGTCATGTTGACATCTTGTGCCTGCTGGGTGCTTAAGGCCATTTGGGTCTTCATCCAGTAGACATCCGCCATCTCATCAGTGACATCATCTAAGCCGGGTCAATGCCTGTGAAATTGGACATCTTCTCTGACACTTTTAATGCTTCCAAACATTCATTCATTTTCTTTTTGGCTTTATTAATCCGGGGTCGCCACAGCGGAATGAATCGCCAACTTATTCAGCACATGATTTATGCAAAGGATGCCCTTCCAGCTGCAACCCATCACTGGAAGACACCCATACACACTCATTCACACTCATACACTACTGACAATTTAGCCTATCCAATTCACCTATAGCGCATGTGTTTGGACTGTGGGGGAAACCGGAGCACCCGGAGGAAACCCACACCAACACGGGGAGAACATGCAAACTCCACACAGAAACACCAACTGACCCTGCTGGGGCTCGAACCAGAGACCTTCTTGCTGTGAGGCGAATGTGCTGCTCACTGGACCAGCCTGATTTCAACCAAAGCCTGATTTCCAAATCACATGTGTTGAGCTGTTCATGATGATGCGGGTTACTCTGTGTGTGATCTGATTGGTCAGGAGTCACAGCACTGATCTCTCTAATAGACAGGTAATAATACAGTAGAGATGCAGACTGAAGGACAGTAGTGGAGTAACAGCACAGATACTGCAGTAAACATGAACTCAAGGGGAGTAAAAGTGCACATCTAGAACACTACTCAGTAAAGCACAACTGCTGAGAGACACTGCCCAATCACAGAGTGTTGCTGATGTGTTACTGCACACCAGTGTGTGTGATCTACCCCGTCATAAAGCAGAACCAGTGAAAACAGAAACGCAGATCTACAGCTGGACATCAGCCACAGTCATAGACGACATAAACTGAAATAAAACACAAAATATCTGCCACTCTGAGCAGCCCCTTCACCGTCAAACGCGTTCTGTAAATGAATTGTCCCCCGCGAGGCGCTGTATGACGCGCAATCCGGAGCGACACACAGACAAACACGCGTGCGCGGAGCGGTTTCATATTCCCGAGCCAGAGTTCCTGCATTACTGTAGTGCACTACACGGACAGCAGAAGCAGAGAGAAACGCAGTCATGTCTGAAGCCCGCAAGAGGACCAGGAGACGATTCGGCGGACACGCGCACAAGAAACAGAAGGGCGCGCGCGAGCTGGAGGTGGGCGCGCAGGGCGTGCTGATCACCTGCAATATGAACGAGCGCAAGTGCACGAGCGAAGCCTTCAGCCTCCTCAGCGAGTACGCGGACGAGCTCTACGGGCCCGAGCAGGTGAGTGACTGCAGTGTGGGTCACCATGGAGACGCCTGACTGTAGTGTAGATCACCATGGAGACGCCTGACTGTAGTGTAGATCACCATGGAGACGCCTGACTGTAGTGTAGATCACGTGGAGACGTCTGACTAGTGTAGATCACCGTGGAGATGTCTGACTGTAGTGTAGATCACCATGGAGACGCCTGACTGTAGTGTAGATCACCATGGAGACGCCTGACTGTAGTGTAGATCACCATAGAGACGTCTGACTGTAGTGTAGATCACCATGGAGACGCCTGACTGTAGTGTAGATCACCATGGAGACGCCTGACTGTAGTGTAGATCACCATGGAGACGCTTGACTGTAGTGTAGATCACGTGGAGACGTCTGACTGTAGTGTAGATCACCATGGAGACGCCTGACTGTAGTGTAGATCACCGTGGAGACGCCTGACTGTAGTGTAGATCACCGTGGAGACGTCTGACTGTAGCGTAGATCACCGTGGAGACGCCTGACTGTAGTGTAGATCACCATGGAGACGCCTGACTGTAGTGTAGATCACCATGGAGACGCCTGACTGTAGTGTAGATCACCACGGAGACGTCTGACTGTAGTGTAGATCACCGTGGAGACGTCTGACTGTCTTGTAGATCACCGTGGAGACGTCTGACTGTAGTGTAGATCACCATGGAGACGTTTGACTGTAGTGTAGATCACCGTGGAGACGTCTGAATGTAGCGTAGATCACCATGGAGACGTCTGAATGTAGTGTAGATCACCGTGGAGACGCCTGACTGTAGTGTAGATCACCGTGGAGACGCCTGACTGTAGTGTAGATCACCGTGGAGACGCCTGACTGTAGTGTAGATCACCGTGGAGACGCCTGACTGTAGTGTAGATCACCGTGGAGACGCCTGACTGTAGTGTAGATCACCGTGGAGACGCCTGACTGTAGTGTAGATCACCGTGGAGACGTCTGACTGTAGTGTAGATCACCATGGAGACGTCTGACTGTAGTGTAGATCACCATGGAGACGTCTGAATGTAGTGTAGATCACCATGGAGACGTCTGACTGTAGTGTAGATCACCATGGAGACGCCTGACTGTAGTGTAGATCACCATGGAGACGTCTGACTGTAGTGTAGATCACTGTGGAGACGTCTGAATGTAGTGTAGATCACCGTGGAGACGTCTGAATGTAGTGTGGATCACCGTGGAGACGTCTGACTGTAGTGTAGATCACCATGGAGACGCCTGACTGTAGTGTAGATCACCATGGAGACGTCTGACTGTAGTGTAGATCACTGTGGAGACGTCTGAATGTAGTGTAGATCACCGTGGAGACGTCTGAATGTAGTGTAGATCACCATGGAGACGTCTGACTGTAGTGTAGATCACCATGGAGACGCCTGACTGTAGTGTAGATCACCATGGAGACGTCTGACTGTAGTGTAGATCACTGTGGAGACGTCTGAATGTAGTGTGGATCACCGTGGAGACGTCTGAATGTAGTGTGGATCACCGTGGAGACGTCTGACTGTAGTGTAGATCACCGTGGAGACGTCTGACTGTAGTGTAGATCACCGTGGAGACGCCTGACTGTAGTGTAGATCACCGTGGAGACGCCTGACTAGTGTAGATCACCGTGGAGACGTCTGACTGTAGTGTAGATCACCGTGGAGACGTCTGACTGTAGTGTAGATCATCGTGGAGACGTCTGACTGTAGTGTAGATCACCGTGGAGACGTCTGACTGTAGTGTAGATCACCGTGGAGACGTCTGACTGTAGTGTAGATCACCATGGAGACGCCTGACTGTAGTGTAGATCACCATGGAGACGCCTGACTGTAGTGTATATCACCATGGAGACGCCTGACTGTAGTGTAGATCACCGTGGAGACGTGTCACTGTAGTGTGTGTGTGTGTTACAGGAGAGTCTCAGTGAGGATGAGGAGCAGGAGGATGAGGATGCGGAGTGTGCACTACAGAGGGAAGTGTCTCAGCTGCAGTCGTCCAGTAAGGGGCGTCAGCAGCGCTTCAGTGCGGTGGACAGCGGCGCCAACAACGTGGTGTTCATCCGCACTCATGGCGTAGGTGAGAGATCAACCTTCAGGTGAGATGACCTCTGACCCCTGACCCTGCTCTGACCCACCCCGCTTCTGCTTTCAGACCCCGCCCAGCTGGTGCATCACATCCTGTCTGACCTCCACCTGACCCGGAAGAGGAAGTCGCGTGTGATCCTGCGCATGCTGCCAGTGAGCGCCACCTGCCGAGCGTTCCCGGAGGACATGCAGAAGCTGCTGAGTGTGTTCCTGCAGCGCTGGTTCCTTGCTCCGCGGCATGCTACCTTCCAGATCTGCTTCAAAGCCAGAAACAGCAGCCACAGCAAGAGGGAGGAAGTGATCACGGGCCGTCGCAGGTACCCACACACACACACACACACATACACACTCACAGCAAGAGGGAGGAGGTGATCACGGCCGTCGCAGGTACACACACACACACACAAACTTTCAAACAAACTACACATCAAACACACACACACGTTACACAACACATAATGCACATAACACACACTACACATCAAACATCTTACAAACCTACCATACACACACACACACACACACACACACACACACACACACACTGTACTTCTGAATCTGTCATGGTCCTCTCTCGCTTTACTCTCTCCAGACCTTCATGAGTTCCTGTTTTCTGCTCAACACAAAAGAAGATGTTTTGAAGAATGTTGGAAACCGGTAACCATTGACTTCAGTGTTTGTGTTCTGCTGTGGAGGTGGATGGTTACCGGTTTCCCGCCTCCTGTGTTCAGCAGAGTACAGACACTCATCGAGCTGTGTGAGCTCCTCAGAGGGAATGCTGAGTGTGTTTATTTGGGCTGATCTGTCTCTTTAAGAGGATGAGGATTGGTCTGCTCAGTCTCCGCCCCTCTGTGTGTGTTTCAGGTCTGGTTGGTCAGCTGAACCCGCTCAATAAGGTGGATCTGACCAATCCTGAGCTCTCCATCATCATCGAGATCATCAAGAGCGTCTGCTGCGTCAGCGTCGTCACCGACTACATGCTCTTCCGCAAGTACAACCTGCAGGAGGTGGCCAAAGAGCCGGCCAATCAGAACACAGGCTCACAGAAAACACCCAATCAGAACACAGACCCACAGGAAACACCCAGTCAGAACACAGACCCGCAGGAAACACCCAATCAGAACACAGACTCCAAAGAAGCAGCCAATCAGAACACAGACCCACAGAAAACAGCCAATGAGAGCAAAGGTTCACAAGAATCAGCCAATCAGACGCAGGAGCACGGGAATGGAGAGCTGCAGAGTTCTGATGTTACCGTTGGCAACGGGGCAGAGGAGGCGGAGCCTGAGTGAGCTGTGATTGACAGATGTGGTGTTTGTGACAGGAGTTGCCCTCAGGCTGAGCGGCGGTCAGCGGCTCCTCGTTCACTGCTGAGTCAGGGGAGCTCAGTACAGCTCAGTAGCGTCCTGTTTCCTGCTGTTTACTTCCTGTTACTGTGGTTTTGGTCTGCCAGTCAGACGTGTGTGTGTGTGGAGATAAAATAAAAACACAACTGGAGTCACCTCATGTGTTAGCCCTGCTGTGCCTACTGATTATTGAAGTAGAGGCTGAGCTGAAATATTGGGTGTGTGTGTGTGTGTGTGTGTGTGTGTGTGTGTGTGTGTGTGTGTGTGTGTGTGTGTGTGTGCTGCCTCTATTTTCAAAATGTATCTTCTGTTAGAGGTTATGCTAAAGCGAGGCGTTTGCATGTTCAGACTCACTCACCGAGTTCCTGACAGGAAGGAGTCCTCAATACACACAACACACACACACACGCACACACACTTACTCAGTGGATTCACTCGCACAGATTCCCCTGGAGAACACACAGTAATGTGAGCTAAAGAAAGTAAACTGTGATCTCAAGTGGACCTCAGAGTCAGTGCTGAGAGTATTACTGAGTTTAGATGATGATGAACTTTAACTCTGTCAGGAAAATGCCTTTATTTCACTGTAGTTTGACCTTTCTGGACACTTTGAATGTGTAGACAACTGAATTGGACTGCACGCTGTAAGCATGACACATTGTACACTGTATTTCAGTGAGCGTATTCTCAGACATGTGCTGCAAAATGAAAATTAAATGATTTCATTAGCATTAGTCATTTTAACAGTAGTTTCACTACATCAAATACTATTTCTAACGCATTATGAGTTGCAAAATTAAGCTGGAAATGTATTGCCCAAACCTAAATGATGTGTGTATCGCGCAAGCAAAGACCAGTAAAATGACCATGTAAATGTTATATGTGCTGCTGCAGTTCCGGCGGTGCCCGGCAGGTGCAGTAGTGCACAGCCACAGGCAGACAGAAGCAGCAGAAGAAGAAGTAGACGCACTCGAATGCTGTCTGTCAGCAGAACGCGCTGAACATAACAGTAATATTATTAATATTAATAGAGCTGCTGAACATGGATCTGCTGGACCCTCTGGCCGCGGTGCTGGATGAGGTGGCTCTGGAGGGTCTTGACGGCATCACTATTGAGACTCTGTGGCTGCGGCTGGAGAACCGGCAGG